GAGGGCGTGGCCGTGGTGGGGAGGGCGGGCCCGGGCGGGGAGAAGGGGCCGGGCTCCCGGAACCCCAGCTGCGTTGAGGGACGACCCGGGGCCCGGGGCCCGGGGCTCGGGGCTCCGGGCTCTGGGCTTGGGGCAGGGGAGGGCCAGGACCCGAGGGTGGGCGCGAGCATAGGTGCCCAGCTTCTGCCGTGCACGGCTTTCCTAGTCGCCCCACGGGTCCTGCTTCAGGTCCTCTTGTCCTGACCTTCCGTGACCTTGATGGCAAATCTACTTGGGAAGGTCAAGTATAAGAGCCGCGACCCCTAAGGACCCGGGTAGTGGCAGGGCTAGTCTCCGCCGCGTGCCGACTCTCCCAGGGAATGGAGCGCCCACTGTGCGCCCTTCTGGAAACACGCTTGAGATCATTTTCATAACCGCCCGTACTCCTGGGAGCTGCGACCAGGGTTCCCGTCCCTGTCGAGAGCTCAGGGCTCAGAGGGAGGCGGCCTCGCAGTGAGCAGCCAGGTGTCTCCTCGCTGCTCCTCAGACACCTGCCACCCATTCCTATAATGGGTCTGAGGTCTGGGGTCCTGACATTCACACTCCCCGCGCTGGGAGTTCTAGGCCCATTTTATGGAGGTTGACACAGACCTAGAGAGAGCTAGTGACTGCTCAGCCCAGGTCCCCTCGCAGACCTGGTCCCTCCCCCTTATTCTGAGGCTGGTAGTGGGGTGCATAGTTGAACTCTCCATTCTCTATGCAGGGGTTCTCCAGGTCCCTCAGAATGCTGCTTCCACCCCTCCAGGTCACCTCAGGAGGAGGAGGCAGCTCCACCCAGGCACCCAGCCTGCCTCTGCCCAGATGGGGTGGCCTGGCCCAGGGCCCAGCTCTGCACACTCAGCCCTACCCTAGACCTATGCCCCCCAGCCAGTCAGGATCCTCAGCAGACCCAGACAAACCCCCGCCCCACATCCCCACTCCCAGACACACACACGCACACTCGCTCACACTCGCACCTGCAGAACTGCACCTGGGGTGGCAGGGTGGGCACCCCTGGGGTAGACAAAGCTCTGAGGCCACCCGGGGCAGGCTAGCACCCTGCCAGGTTGATGTGCAGGGACTCTCCAGGGGAGCTGTGACCCACCAGCCCTGCCCCAACTCTGAGTGGGTGTACTCTACAACCATACGCCCTCTCCCAGGGCCCGCGATGGCTGCCAAGTCTACAGACACTAGGCCACAGGGCAGGGGCAGGCGCAGGGGCTGTGAGCACCGGGCCAGAATCCCAGCCCTACCTTTGCCTGCCCTTGGCTTTCCACAAGTCTCTGCCTCCAGGCCTCCGTCTCCCCAGGTTCTCCCAGGGCTCCTGCTCGAGACCTCTGAGTAGGTGGGGGAGGGCAAACCACTCCAGCCACCCAGTGCCCCTGCCCCAGCCACTCAGAGGGCTGGAGTTGCCACACAGTGTCTCCATGGTGACCGGCAGGAGCACCGTGAAAGGCAAGGGCTGCAGTGCCAAGGAGTGTACTTGGCCTGGGCAGGCCTCCCTCCGTGCCTCCTGGGCAGGACTCCCCTCCTTTCCTCTTGGACCCCCCACCCCCACTTGCTCTCCTCTCTGGAGTCCCCAGGGGCACTCTCTTTTCCCTTGTGTTTGCTTATTTTTGTACGAAAGACTGACGAATGTGTTTATTTCTTCCATGAGTGAGAGACAGAAAAAGAGGGAGGACAACCCCCCAAAAGGGTCCACATACCTGGACCACGGTCAGCCTCAGCGGGCCTCTGGTCGCCAAATCTGCCATGAAGTCTCCTGCTGGGGACAGCTGTCCCTTCCTGAGCAGGACTGTCGTCTCCCAGTGCCGCCTGGTACTCGGGCCGTGGCGGGTCTGTGGCAGGGACAGAAGTGCCAGGGTGGGCCTGCCCTCCAAGCTGGCTGCCTTGACCACGTTGCTGCAGCCAGGGGATGGCTGCCCAGACCATGGGGCGGCTGGGGAGGGGCACAGCGGGAGGATGGCTCTCAGAGCCCAGGCCTGAAGGGGTGGGGGGCGGGATCTTCCAACTTGGGGGAGATTTGAGCTTTGACCTTGTCATGCTCCTGCTGGGACCTTATCCAAGATTTAAAACTCCGGGAACCAGCAGTTAGCGTAATGGCTATGTTGCTGGACTCCCACGTAGTCGACCGCGGTTCACGTCCCGGACCCGGTGGCTTAAAACTCACGCCAGGTGCATGTGCGTGCGTGCCCAAGATCCCGAGAGGAGAATGGAGGAAAAGGGATTGCGGCGTGGCCATCCCCCCTGGGGGGTGATTTCTTGGTTTCTGTCTCTATGTCTGTCTCTGTCTGTCTGGCGAGCGCACGCGCCCTATAGCAAAAACCTCTCTCAAAAAAAAGATTCAAACCCCCGGCAGGGTCTGTGTCCGCAGGTGGGGTGCTGAGGACAGGTGAAGGCTCCATGGGCGAGCAGGGTCTCTCAGGCTCCCTCTGGCTGCCCAGACCAAGGTGCAAGGGGAGAGGCAGGGTCAGAGCTCCTGTGGCCAACCAGCCTGAGACAGGGTGGCAGGGCCATGGGACACACGTCCCCCTGAGAGGAGGCCACATCCTCCTGGATCCCAGCTGGATCCCAGCGGGCTGGGTGGTGTGACGAAGAGGATGTCCAAGGTCCCTGATTAGGCCCAGCACCCAGGACAGAGGCGCAGGGCTGGGAACAGCAGACAGGAAGCAGCTTCTGACCTGCACCTGAAGAGCTATCCCTGGCAGGAACCAGCAGTTAGCGTAATGGCGGTTCACGTCCCGGACCCGGTGGCTTAAATTCACACCGGGCGCGTGTGCATGCGTGCCCAAGATCCCGAGAGGAGAATGGAGAGGGGATTGTGGCATGACCATCCCCCCTGGGGGGTGATTTCTCGCTTTCTGTCTCTATGTCTCTCTGTCTGTCTGGCAAGCGCACGCGCTCTATAGCGAAAAACCTCTCCAAAAATAAGAGAGCTGTCCCTGGCAGCCTGAGGCTAGGGGAGAACCCCCCAGTGAGAGGCAGCGGGGTCAGGGGGCACAACAGGGGTTGAATCACAAGACACCAGGAGGGTTTGTGAATCACAGGGAGGGGACCGAGGCCTGAGGGGCTCTTGCCAAGGGAGATGGGGTGGGCCCTCAGAGGCACAGGGCTCCTGAGGGCTCCTGGGAGCCCAAGTGTGTCAGGAGGAGGAAATGGCCTTCAAGCAGGGATGTGGGCTTGGCAGCTGGCAGGTCACAGTGCCCTTCCCAAGGGCAGAGGTCACGGGGTTTGGAGAAGCCGCCCGGGCAGCATTCAGGAGAGGGCAGTGTCCAGGGGGACACGTGTGTGCCTGCTGAGAGCAGGGTGTGCGTGTCCACAGTGCACTGAGGGTGAGGAGAGTGGTGACGTCCGGGGGCCAGCAGGGATGGGGTGCCTTCAGCT